TCTGGTCCTACTTCTCGTTGAGAAAAATCCTGGCCGAGGACGAGCCGGGCCGGCACCAGTTCATCTGCGAGCGCTGCGCCCGCTGCAAGTGCCACAGGAAGAAGCACATTTCGACCTTGAGCGTGCGTGTTTTTTTTTTTTTTTTGTCACGGAAGCAGAGAGCAAGATTTTTCACATCAATCTAGTTAGTTATTTAGCTTGCTCACTAATTGGTTTGTTGGCTAAACAGTATAATTAGACTGTCTGACCGTACAGTTATTTAGCTCGCTCGCTATTGAGCTAATTTGTTGGCTCGTTGGCATTGTTATGGAAAGACATCCGGCTGTACACTTATTTAGCTTGCTCACTAGTAAGTTTGTTTGTTCATGAGTTCGGTTGTTGTCAGAACTACTAGTGAAGTACCGTACTAGGTAGTAGATGTTAACAAGTAGGATTTTACAATATTGCTCGTCGTGCGAGTAACATGCAAGTGTCAACTTTGGCCCAATTAGTAATACGCAGTTGCCCTCCCGGTAGGCTATTGAAGCCTAAACTGGAACACAACACAACATCACCTAAAGCCCTAGACTTGACATGAACCCCCTACATGAAGTTGGAGTCCAAACGTGAAACAGTAACTGCAAACTGAAACCCTAAGCATTTGAAACCCTACCCCTGAATTTTACCCTACCCCAACCCTACGAGATTTTAATGGCGCTCGGCTTTAAGAAGGGCTCAAGTTCTCCATTTTTGTCAGGTTCTCCTTTCCCCGCACTGAGCCGAAAGTCTACAAAGAGCCACGACAAATCTCCGGCCATGTTTTTAGAGATGTTCGATGTATTTTTTGGCATGCCCTCAAAAGGTCTTTAATCCGAGACTTCTGCCTTTTCCCTTATGTGCTTATCCATTCATCTGCAGCTTTTATTCAATTGACTCTACTTTGCTGCCTGTGCATTTCCTGCACTTCTCGTCTTTATTTTCCTTTCCCGAGCATCTATCTGACATCTTTACAGCTAATTTATACGGGGACACAAGGCCCTTTATGCTGGCCTGAGGATTATCAGAAGGACTGACCTAAATTTCTTGTACAACTCATATTCTAATATTTGTCCAATGAAATTGCATTCATTTATTCACAGCAGTCTATCTTCCTCATTTTGTAGCATTACTTTGTTAGTTGGTTGAATTTTTAGCGATACAATTAGCAGAAATATGTTAAAAACTCTGAGCTTGCTGGCTCGTTAGAAAATTTGTTGGCTGGCTCGGCATTTGCATAGCAGGATGTAATAACATGCAGCTGCACGATCATTTAGCCTGGCTGCTAGTTAGTTTTGTAAGCTTGTTAACTAGATACAGTAGTTAGTAGAAGCATCTGAAGCTAAGATATTTGACTCCATAAATAGTTAGTTGGTTGCTTAGTTAGCAGAACAATGTAAAAACTTCTGACTATATCGTTTTGTTTTTTTTTAGCTTGTTTGCTGGTTCGTTATTTTGTTTGCTCGATAGGTGGCAGAATCTCAAAAGACATCTGACTGCAGCGTTGTTGGGGTTCCTCACATATTCGTTAGTTAGCTTGTGCGCGTGAGTTAGCCAGATCATGCAAAATAACTCTGACTGCATTTTTGACTACGGCTATGTAGCATTAGCACCAGGTAATCAACTAACACTCTTGTTGTGTGACTGACTCCCACCTTCGCAGGTTTATCTGATGTCCCGTGAGCGTCGGCCTGGAGCCGCCCACCCCGGTGCCGCCCACCTTGGTACCGCCTTCTGTGGGTCTCCGATATGGACCCCGCTCACTCTTTTAGGATGGAGTTGGACGGGCTGGACCTCCAGCAGGTCCCGGTGCTGTCACTCGACCAGATCCGTGCCATCCGGGCCTACAATGACTACGTGGACCGACCAGTGGCGCTGGAACTGGCATCCCAGTCTGGATTTTTCTATGCCCACGACGAGAGACACCCGCACGGAATATACTCGCAGCACCCTCATCTGCCGGGCCACACCGCCCTGCCCCGCAGTCAAAGTCAGCAGCAAGCCCGCATGTCCCGCATCAGCCGCTCCAGCACCGTGAGCTCCTCCATGTCCCGGACCAGCGCCAGCTCGGACCAGAGGCTGCTGGCGGGCTTGACGCCCTCGCACTCCGGCTCAACCTCGGTGGTGCGTACTCAACCGAAAGGGGAGCTGCTCAAGTCCGACTACTCGTTGAGCAAAATCCTGGCCGAGGACGAGCCGGGCCGGCACCAGTTCATCTGCGAGCGCTGCGCCCGCTGCAAGTGCCACGAGTGCTGTGCCCCACGCCGGCTTCCCTCCTGCTGGGCCTGCGGGCAGCGCTGCCTGTGTTCCGCCGAGAACGCGGTGGAGTACGGCACCTGCCTGTGCTGTGTCAAGGGCCTCTTCTACCACTGTTCGGCGCAGGACGACGAGGACAACTGCGCCGACCGGCCGTGCTCCTGCGCCCCAGCCCACGCCCTGGCCCGCTGGGGCACCATGGGCCTCCTGGCTCTCTGCCTGCCCTGCCTCTGCTGCTACCCCCCTGCCCGGCTGTGCCTCGCCTTGTGCCACTGTGCCCACGACCGGGCCACGCGACCTGGCTGCCGGTGCAGCAACACCAACACTGTGTGCCGCAAGATCTCCGCTTCAAACCCCAACCCGGGTCATCCCTCCGTGAGCAAGGCTGTGGAGAAGTCACTATGACAGGCCTGGATTGGTGGCAACAAGGCGCCAACCATTACTTGTGCTCACCTGCCTTGTAGGCGGCCATCTGTTCTCCAGCTCGAGGGGGACAAAAGCTTTACTGTGCCTGTTTGCCTTGGAAACTAAAAGCCCAACCTGAAGAAGAACTGAATTTGCCGTCCTTCTTCTACCTAATGGAGATGTCTGACATGCATTTATTTATTAACGGACCACCTCCTGACGCTTTACGATCGACGCCTGGACCACGGACCGGATCGGCAACTCACGGCTCGACCACGACGGATTACCCTGAATCTCGGAGCTCCTCGCCATGCTGGAGCAGCGGCAGACCACCATCACCAGACAGGAGGAGGTCTGTGACAACATACGCGCTCATGTAGCATTTCCAACTTAAGGGATCTAAGATCAGGTATCGGTATCGGTCCGATACTGGGCTTATTTGAAGTAGAATGTTGTTTGCGGAGGCTGCTGAAAATCAAGTAAGTGTTCATTGGCAGTAACTGGCGCTATACTGCAGCAGTTTGACACATTGGCAAACTATCCTCTCCATCAGCAAGAAAAGTCTTTGTTCACAATTTTTCGTCATCGTGTTCAATGAAATTTTCTACATGAAAAGTGAATGTGGTCATCGGTAAGTACTTAAAGAGTGAATAACCGTAAGGGCCAAGGAACCAACGATTTAAACGTGCGGACAATCGCAGCACATCCGGAATGCTTTGGCACAACGGAAAAACGGAACCGCACCCGGTTTGAGCAGAATCTCAATGCCATTCTTAAGCTCAGTTGTATTAGGTGGACACACGGTACTGCGCAAAAGTGGCAGGCCACCGAGGAAAATAGTATGTAAGATCAGAGGCACCTTTCTGGTTCCTGGAAAATCAGACGATGGATTCTGGGACTTTAAACTCGATCCACCGCCAAAATCAATGGGTTCTACGTGCCACACCTTGAGAAAACATCATCAGAAATGGCTTTTAACCAAACCCGAGAAATCACCGGCGGTGACTTTTGCGTAGTACCTCACCTGAAAAAAGGGACCACGACCTGCCTAATTGGAATCTCAATGCTATTAAGCTCGTTTCTATGACACTGACGCATCCCCAAGGTAAATCGCAGAGCTGGACGCCGGATGCTGGCATGAGACTTGCATTTTTAATGAGGTCCTTCACCAGTTTCCAATGGTTTCCACGTGGCACCTGATGAGAAGATCTCATAGAATGCCTTCAAACCGAATCTGTCCTGATCCCTGATCACTGGTGGTAGCCTTTGACTTTTGCACAGTACATTTGCAGCACCTCTGGAACACTTTGATTGAAAAAAGGACGGTACTACGCAAATGTTGTGGGCCACTGAGGTCAATTGTATTTGGGTTGGCTCGCAGGAAACTCTCAACGACATTGAATTTTGGAAATGTGGCCTCACTTGAAATTCTGAATGAAATCTAAGTTCATCGTTTCATTTGTATGAGGTGGACGCACGATCCTGCGCAAAAGTCGCCGTTAAGTTGCTGGTTCCTGGAGGACCATACGGTGGAGCCTGGGATTGTACACACTTTTAATAAGATCCTCCAACCCAAAACCGATGGCGCCGTCACACTCCAAAATGTCATAGAAATGCTCGGAAGTTGTTCTTTCACAAAACCACAATCATTGCCGGCGGCTTGAGACTTTTGCGCAGTATCGTACGTTTTTTTTTTTTTCTCTCAACAGCCGTGTTAACCAACAACAGGGTGGGCCGAGGGTGTGCGTGCGTGTCTCTCTGTGTCTGCGTGAAGACGAAGAAGGACTTGTCTTTGTTGTCGTCTTATTTTTAGCCTTGCTGCTACATCTTTGCGCCGGTCCGGTCGGGTTTCTCAGTCTGTCGCCAAGCTCCCTGATCAGGCCTCCGCCCTAACGCCGGACTCCCTTGCATCGCCTGACTCCCCCCACACTTGATCCTCCCATCCCTCCGGCCCGGCCGCGCTTGCCTCTCCTCACTCACCGGCCGGACGACTAAAAGCCTCCCGTCGAGAGTTGATCAGACGGGCAATTATCTCCATGATTGCTCTTAATGGGCCAGACGAGAACGCAGGAAGGAGTTGCGGTGTTTTGGCGCACGGAGAAGAAGGCGGGGTGGGGGGGGGGGTGCTGGGGTGAGGCTCGGGTCTCCTGACGTGTGTGTGCATGTGTGTGTGCATGTTTTCAAGTGAACGTGCGTGTGTGTTTGCGGGATGCATGAACACTACCACCCGACGCGTTAAAATCTTCCTTTATTTTTATATGCAGATATGAGCAAGTGACGTCGGAATTGATTTTTTGGGGGGGATTGTGTTACCATGACAACGGTTGTCAATTCAGGAACTTTTGGGGCCGGGAACAGCGCCAAAACGATCCAAAAAAGGATGGACAAGGATTTAGTAGGATAGTGGAGAAAATGTCTTTCGTATAGATGGTTGAAAATGTCACATTTGGCGTCCCACATCCCTAAAAATATATCACTACAGTTGGGAAATCATTTTAAAATGTAATATGGGGAAAAAAGAAAAAAGGTTGTAATATTTACATTAAAAATTAAAATGTTTGCATGATTCAGTCATAATATTACAAACGTCGTAAAGAATAAAAGGTGTATAATTGCGATTAAAAAGTTAAAAGAAAGAGTTAAAAACTACAAAAAAAATTTCAGAAAATTCCGTGACTGATGTCCTAAATTGACTTGGCAACTGTCATTTTCTGACAATAAATATTGTTTACGTTCGTCCTTGTAATAGTCCAAATGCATCGTAAACTTCGCATTTTTTTCGTGATATTTTCACTTCATTCGCGTAAAAGAATGTGGCCCTAATACACAATTTTACACACTTTTTCAATGAACCCCATGAATTTTTTTTGTTTGTTTTTTTAACTACTCACTTTGCTTTTTTCCAACAAATCCTACTAAATTCTTGCGAGAATAGACAATCTGGGGGGGAAAAAAATATGCAAAGTCGCCACAGAGAGCATTTTAAACTGTCATGTGGCTGCTCATGGTCAAGATTCTTTTATTTCAACAAAAACGACACTTGAATTTATTCTTGGATGCGCGCGTAAAGGTACCTTTCTTTTTTTATTTCTGGTTTGAGGCTAATGTTAGTTCATTAGCTACAGATGGAGGGAGGGCGGGATGCAACCTTCTTCCAATCAGGGGCCATTTCAGTCCTCTAAGGGCTACATTTAGGAACAAAAAAATTAATGAAATAGTCTTCTTATTATGAGCTATGAAATTTTGTGTTGTGGAATTAACCGTTTGTGTTGTGTTATTTTTTGTATGGTGAGCTGATCGAATGCTTTCGGGCTGCATATTGCCCATTCACCTTAGGTTGCCCCGCGCCCCTCCGACACTCCACACAGTATAACCACTACTCGTGCTTTCGGTACACAATTGGCATCTTGTTTGTTTGTTGTAAAGAAATTTAAGGAGAGTATACGGAACAATATATCGAGAAGTCTATCAAAAAGTGAGATATTATTATTCGGTTTATTATAATGATATATGAAGAGCACGTGTTTCTTTGCCGACGTGGTGTATTTGGTTATTTATTTACAGGTTACTCGCCGCCATGGAGTACAGTGCGAGATTACGTGTGTGCTTGTCGTTTGTTGTTTTTTTCTGGCTATTTGGTGTGGCTGCTGACGACGACCCAATAAAAAGGAGCTTTCCGAACATCAACGGGCATCTGTGTGTTATTGTTTTTTTTTTTTTTTTTTTCGGGGGGGGGGGCAGGGGTTTAAAAAAAAAAAAGTGAAGTCACAAGGATGGAGTCATTAAAAAAGTTGCAATGATCTGTGAAAAAGCCAAAACTGCAACGAGCCAAAGTAATGAACGTCAAAATAAATAGGAACAAAGTCCTACTTTTACATTTTCCCAATGCCAATCATCGCTAACTTGAACGTCCAATCAGGGAGCTCATTTAGGCCACGCGGTGAGACTCCACACTTCAGTCCAACTGCAGGGCTGGGCAGTCGCCGCTGTTTTAGTTAGCAACAGCGTTCCGGCGAGTCAACGCTTGAAGTTGTGAGCGTTTGTCTCGTTTACGGAGTGATCAATGAAGAATGTGTGCGGAGCCCCCCCCACCTCCCACAATAAAAAGGACTCCTGCTGCTCTCCAAAGTGAACAGACAACCAGCCTTTGACCCCTCTGTCAAAGCAAGGGCTGAACCCCCCCCCACCTCACCCATCCTCTTGTCCCCCTTGGGAGTCGCCCTCCCCGAGGCAAAACCGTCTGTCCGTCAAACGCCCATACAACTGTCAATCAATCATGCAGCCACCCCGGAATGTTTACTCCGATTTTTTTGTTGTTTAGACCTGTCACCACAGAGTAGTCCAAATGAACCAGGGGTCAAAGTTCAGGCTGGGCGACACATCAGCATCCCGGGAGGCGGGAAAATGGGACATTTTTTTTTTCCCCACTGAACAAGATGAAGTTATCCTGTACAGGCTCACAGGGGTGAAGGGTGGCGGGGCCGAGTTTGAAGCTGAGTTTTTGGGCATGTTCAGGTCAGTCGCCAACTCATGCAATTTCGAGAGCATTCAGCCCCTGAAGCCCGTTTCATTTAGCGTTTTGACATTTAGTAGGCATGTCTACCACGGACGGGTAGCCCTCCCCCCTCCAAAAAAAAGATGAAGAAGCCACGCCAAAACAGACACAGGAAGTCAGCTATTTCGGTTGGAAGTGGCCATTTCCAGGTCAGTCGCATACTGGTGGACTTTTGGAAAATTCAGTTTCACTTAGCAAATGTGAAATTTGGGAGCCATGTCTATCATGAGTAGCCTCGCAAAAAAATTCTGAAGAAGCCGCGCCAAAACAGACACAGGAAGACTTTTGTTTGCAAGTGGCAATTTCAGGGCCATTTTGGACAAAGACGAATTCACCCAACAGATTTGATCTGAAAGCTACCAAATTAGAACCTTGACAACGAGACATATGGTTGGTGGCTAATGGATGAAAATGTCGACTTTTGGTCATTGCTTGTGGCCACAGCAAGAAAATGAACTGTGATGAATTGCCATAACACACAAAAATGTACAAGTCAGCAGCAGAAAGAAGTTTCACAGGGGAGGAGGATGCAGGGATGGAGGGTGGGTGACGGGAGGGGTTGGGGTGGGTGGGGAGGGTCCTGGGGGGTGGGATGGGAATGTTATCTGCAGGGGTCACGCGGTCAGGCGAGAAGTTTCAACTCGCTTCCTGTTCCTGCTGCTGGTATGACAACAACAACAACTCCCCTCTGGAATTCCCGACTATTACTGCTTTTTTTTTTTTTTTCTTTCA